TCTTGCTTTGCCTGTACTGATTCTTGTTCCAGATCAAGGTATTGGCATATCTAAATCAAATTATTGCTCTTTGATGAAGTATCTCCTGGTTTCATTATGTGAATATCCGCATAATGCACTGTGATGGGTGATGTTGAATCATAAAGGGAAATTTCTTTTTGATCATTGTCTTTACTGTAGTTACCTTGGTCTGCAGCAGGAGGATCAATAGCTCTGGTAATTATTATCCTTGCAAGTGGCAGTAGAATATATGCCTTGCTTATAGTCCTAACCTAAACTCCAAAGAACAGAGATCTGTGTTAGAGGATGTAAAGCATAATATTCAGATTAAAAAGGGTGCAGGATAAAATGATTCTATGTCTGTGCGTCCCCTGTTACTCAACAGAAGTTTGGCAAGCTGAGGACCTTTGGAGTTAAGAAATCCAAATGCAATGAGATAACAAACCTTTATTACAGACCACATTGTGACCTGCAGTGACCTGGGTGAGAAAGGATGAGAGGATGGTAGTACATGTCCGACTTCCTTGGGGACTGCACAAAAGACAGCCCTGGTTTGTGCTTTGCCTTCTCCATCTGATGCCCAAAGGCTGCTCTGCCTGCCCAATAGAAGTATAACCCAGGAAGATCTGCCTTACCTGCACAGAAGAGTGTTTGTCTGTGGATCGGTCAAAGTCTTTTCAAGGATGACTCTTTACATCAGTTCAAACAGGTCAGGAGCCAGACTGATTGAACACAGACCTTACAGGAAGGAGATGCAGTACTGCCCAGGCTAGGGCTACCCTTTTGGCAAATAGCCAGGCAGCTCACACTGCTCTCACGACAGTTCTGATCATTAGGACCTTGGTCAACAATGTGCTGTGTAGCCGAAATCAGAACATTTCTCCAGAAATGCTTCCAATCAACTGAAGGGGCGCAACGTTTTAAAGGCTTGAGAAGCCCAGTAGGTACCAATGAACATGCGTAGATACTGAACTGACTTTTCAGATCTGCCCTCAAGCTGCTTGGTCTCTCTCCCATTCTCAGTAGCAACTTTGGGTCCCAGCAGCCTAATTTCAAGGGTCTCTGCATGGCCCATGTGATTCACTTCGTATGTGGTGGCACAGACAATGCAGTGGAAATGAAATTTCCCTCTCTGTGCTGCCATTTCCATCTGCTGCAAGTACAGCTGAGAAGGCCAACAGAATATCTAGAGTTTTTTACTAGATTTTAAGGGGCTACCTCTAAGCTCCTCACGAAAACTCCTGCAAGGTGTTGGCCTGTCTATAAGGAGAATGTCTTTTAGGGATATCTTTACTGGACTTCTCTCAGGGAACCTGAAGTTCTGTCATTTGGTATAGCCAAAGGGACAGATGCCCCAACTGTGCAAAAAGAGCATTAAGTACCCTGCATCTGAACCAAGAATCCAGTTGCAATCATTGACAACATCACAGAAGGGCTGGTTGGAAGGAAGCTCTGGAAGTTATCTAGTTCATCCTTTCACTTAAAGCAGGACTGCTGCCAATGCTAGATCAGGTGAGCTGTGTCTTTGTCAAGTCAAATCTTGAAAATTTCCAAAGATGGAGAACCTACCATTTCTCCAATGACCTGTTCCAGTGTTGCACTAATCTCTGGTGAAGACATCTTCTGCTGTGTCCAACCTGAACTACCCAAGCTGCAGCTGCAGCCATTTCCCCATGTTATATCTTCTGCCCCAACCAACAAAGGTCATGTTCCAACATCCTTGCAACTTCCTTTCAAGGATCTGTAGCCAGCTATTTAATCATGCCAACCTCCTCTTGGTCAGGCTAAACAAGCCCAGCTCCCCCTGTCGCTCCATACTCTGGTCATATGCTCCATACTCTGACCAGCTTGGTAGTCCTCCATTGGACCCTCTTGTGTTTCTTCATCAGACCACACACAGTCCAAGTGCAGCCTCAGAAATGCCATGGAGAATGAGGATTGTAACTTACCTTATCTGCTAGCCTTGCTTCTCCAGTATTCATTCATTGTTGCTTACAGAGTTCTTCCAAGAAGAACTTACTTCCAAGAAAATCAGTATATAGCCATCAACTATATCAACATGGTCTAGAAAGAAGATTAAAAGCTCTGCCAAGGATAATTGTTCAACTGCTTTTCATGCAAATGAATATGCTTGCTTCAGATCCCCTTAGTATGTGAAAACTTGAACCCACATATGTGAAAACTTGAACCCACAGATGAGCCATGTGCATCGCTAAAAGTAAAATCTGCCGCTGAAAATCCATTCCCTTCAAAGAACAGTCAACTTTTAAGGCAATCTAATGTATTTGTTTCATTTACATTTCCTGAGCATCTCTTTGGGATGAGATTGAGAAGCCATGTTTGAAGAGCTCATCAGTAAAATAGTCTAGCATGCGCTGCACTGTAAAATCCTAGAGGAGGCAAAGCTGCTACATTATTCACAAGGTAAACCAGACAAGTTCAGAGACACGCTCACCTCCCCTGCGTGCATCATGATAACACAAGCAGCTGTTTCTTCACTAGGGTTCTCTGGTAAAGTAGCTGCTAGGTTTTCTTCTGTAGATGCTACCACCACTTTGACAAAACAGGCAAAATCTCCAGCATTATTTCACAGGGACTGGCAACTTTCTGGGAGTCAGGGACTGCATCTTCTTTTGATATGGAATGGACTCTGGCACAGACAAAATAACTCACCATAAGTAACCCAGACAACCTGAGATGAAAACTCAAAGGTTTTAGGTCCTAGTAGACTGCTTAAAATATTGTGGCTTTCTTGCAGTTTCCCCATGTCTGACTATGACAGGCATGGTGTGGTGCTTTGCTGCCTGCTGGTGTTGAACCACACCACCTGTTATCGAAGAGCAGACCTACCCTCACTGGCACCACTCCCACCTTAAGTCCTTCAGTTTAGTGAACTCTATATGAGGCTCAGCAGGCACCCACTTAGCTGGGTATGCTAAGGCCTGAATTTGTGTCTTCATCTGCCTCGATTCCTTCATGTGCTCTATTCCTTTACATACTCTATGACAGTCAAGCCTCAAATACCAGGGGTATGCAGCTGAAGGCATTCTGTAAATGGCAGTGTGAGGAATTTGCTGTTTCATTGCAACTGCATAGATCAAAACTGTATTAAGCTGCTTCTTTCAACCAAGTGATGCAAGGACAGTTTCAACTATTTGAAAAGAAAATTGCTGGAAGGAAACAGCAATTTTCCTTTTGATAACAAGATCTTGTTTCTGTTTTCTCCGTGATTTCACAGTTGTTTGTAGTGCTTATTTACATGCAGCACAACAGTATCAATCCCAATAACAATCACTTCCAACTTATTTGTAATCCTGCTCATGAACCTCTGATCTAGCATTTCCAGATGAAAGCTCCAGTGTTTGGATCAATTAGTTTCTCCCTAGCTCTTCCCTGTCATGCACTATGCTGCCTAGTTCTTTATTTTCATATATATATATACACACACATATATGTATACACATATACACACATTATGAGTACACTAATAAGATCTCCCCTCAGCCTTCTCTTCTCTAGGATAAACCATCCCAGCTGTCTCAGCCTTTCCCCATATGTGAGATGTTCCAGTCCTTTCATCATCTTTGCAGCCCCTCATTGGACTCCCCACAATGTCCATGTCTCTCTAGTACTGGGGACCCCAGAGCTGGGCACAGTACTCAAGATGTGGCCTCACCAGTGCTGAGTATAGGGGAAGGATCACCTCCCTCAACCTGCTGGCAATGCTCCTTCTAATGCAGCCCCAGGTAACATTTACCTCCTTTGCGGCAAGGGCACATCATTGGCTCATGTTCAACTTTATGTGCACCTGGACCCTCAGGTCCTTTTCTGCAAAGCTGCTTTCCACCTGGGTGACCCCCAGCAGGTACTGGTGCATGAGGTTGTTCCTCCTCAGGTGCAGGACTTTGACCTTCTTCCTGTTGAACTTCACAAGGTTCCTGACAGCCCATTTCTCTAGCCTGTCTCTCGCAGAACAAACACACACCTCAGATCATCTACCACTAACCTGCTGATAATAGTAAATTGGAAGGAGATATTAATAAATTAGGATAAATAGGATAAACTGGAAATTAATAAAATTTCTCTTCCTTTATTGGAACAAAATTACTGGGTGGAAAAAAGTGTTTTCCAGGTGTGTGGAAATGCAACCCACCGTCCCACTCTTAATATTCACTGTGGCTTTATGGTGTTCACACTTTTATCTTGTCTCTGCTGTATTAGAAATAAAAGCTCTTTGTAGTAAGGATTTGTCCACTGCTTCCTCTCTCTGCAGTATGAAACTGCAGAAGTGGAGAGGGAAACATGTTCTTGGTTGATTCAATAATAACACACAATTAACTGTATTCCCTTGACTCCAGAAGTGTTAAACTAATCTTGAGTAGTTTGGTTGAAGTTGGACTATAAAACATGGCATGCAGCTGGTTCCTTCCAATAGAGAGAAGCAATGACATCGGTACATGCTTTTGGTCCAGTGCAGTGCTGGAGGGTAATTTTAACTGCTAGTTTTACAGAAGTTGTAGTGTCATTTCACCTCCCCCTCTCCACCCATAGAGCTGGGATGTAAAGGGAGAGGCTGCCACTGGGAGAAGTCTGTTTATATGTTACTGGCAGTGAACAGCAGGCTCCGTTCACCCTGGTCATGCTGGCACCAGACAACGGAGAGGCAGGGAATGGAAATGAAACCTGATGCTCAGGAATGGAGGAAAATGGCCAGATCACCCTCAGAGATCCAAAGAACCAGTGTCTGTTGTGACAAAAGCTTTGTTTGCCCTTACAGATCAAATGAGGCAAAGACTAGGGCAGTAATTCAACACGTGGACTGGGAATTGATCTACCACTGAGGATAACTCACCCTTATGGGCAGGCCTGTACCTGCAAAGCACCTTTGTGAGGGTGCGGATAGGGCAAGTCCTTGGTCTTGTGTAAAGCTTTGGTTTGCAGGACAATGATCCACTTGTACCACTGATGAGATGGTTATGAGATGAAAATGCACAGAGGATTTATCTAAGAGATTTCTCACAGATCCATGGAGTAGGAACTTCACAGCTGGAGGCCTGAAAGTGATACTTCATCAGGACAACACAGTGTTGCACGGGGCTGTTAGAGAGGACCCTGCAAGAGACGTGGAACACAAATGAGACTGAGAGAAAATGCTGAGCTATCTCCTGGAGACAGTAAAGAAAAAAACACCTGATTTTGAAGGGTGGAGCCCAAAGGAAGTGAAAGAACCCAGCCTCCAAAGGGCAGCTGTTAGAAAACAAAACGTACACCAGAAAACCTGGAGATTACACACACATCTAAGTAATTTTGCCATTGTGGAACCCAAATCAGAACCAAACATAGACATAATGCCCTGCAGTCACAGTGATATCCACCAGCATGAGAACAAAAGTACTGAGAGTTTCATGGAAACACGATCACCTCCAAGGAGTTACAACAGAAAGCTGAATTTAAGAAAGGAATGAAGCCAAGTGCTTAGAGCACTGATCTACCAACAGCTAGATCTTAGGTGAGTTTTCTTGCTGGAGAAGTGTTAAGGACTAACTCACTGTCTTAACTACCATAAAAAGGAAGGGGCCAGGCAAAGTCACTAGACCAAATCATAATGTTTTCCATCATGTGGAATGCTGAGTTTCGTCCAAGTAAACATCGAGCCAAAACAAAGGTTCTGACTTGGGTGGGCACCAGTGAAGCAGCAAAGAGTTGGGTCCTTGCACACAGTGACACCACCACTTGGCAGAATGGGTGCAAGGTGGCTAAAGCCAGTAAGCCAAGATGGACCATATGCTTTTCTGACTGAGCAACGGTGTAGGCAGTGCATTCTTGGTCTGAGCAGCTGGAGGAAAGTAGAGGGATACTAACATTAGTCCTTCTTTTCACAGGTACATGACTTTGCAAAGTGTAGTGCAGTAAAAAGTAGACCCTTTCAAATCCTAGAATGATTTGGGCTGGAAGAGACCCTAAAGATCACCTGGTTCCAACCCCCCTGCCATGGGCAGGGACACCTCCCACCAGACCAGGTTGCTCAAAGCCCCATGCAGTTCAGTGCCATACCAGTGAGAGTAAGAAGAAAATCTGCCAAGGAAGAAAGCTCCTGAGGTGTGGTGCAGGAACTCTGGGTGCTGTGGAACACCAGGCAATTTGAATTAGCACTGTTGTTTTTAAAACAGAATTAAACTCACTTGGTGCCACTGAATACAGAGCCATCTTCCCAAATCCAGGCAGAGCCTGTGCTGTTTTTCAGTCCAATCCAGAAACACTCTGCTTGAATACTCTTGAACAGGTCCTAGAAATGGTGGAAAGTTACAAAGTGACTAATGACAGCCAGCCTAAAAATGGAGGTAAGGAAGAGTAAAGAGAACAGAGAGCAAGACACACCCCCTCTCCTGGCTGTTCCTTAAGGGCTTGACAATACTGTTTCTCCACATCTTCTAACCAGGAAGATCAGACCTGCAAATCACGCCTGGGATTGCACCTATGTGTACACTCACAAGGAAGTAAGCGTGCTTTCAAGGGTCCTGGGCAGATTCTTCAAAGGATGTTTCTCAGGGCAATATGTATGAACCAACTACACCCCAGCCTTATGGAGTTTCCTACAGAGCTTTATGTAGGAACACATGTTATTAGTATTAATATTAATGCTCTACCAGTCAGCTAGCTAGCAAGCTAATACAAAGTATTAACAACTAAAGGTAAAATCAAGTCAGGGCAGGAAGTACAGGCACCAGCAGTTCTGTGTAAAAAGCCCAGGACCAAAGCTCATTAAATATTATATGTATGAACTTTCCTCCTACATGTTTTCAATGTTCATTTCCTTTTACCTAACCTTTAACTCCTGTTGACTGTTAAAAGGTAAAACCTGTAACAGAAACTCAGCCCCGAAGTAAATTTCCCCCCCTCAAAAAGAGAGTTAGAGAAGTTTGTCTTGTCTACATTTGCATTGAAACTCAACAACTGCAACCTATCAGTAGTATGGCTGGGCCTTATCCTTATCTTCTGCTGCCATAAACAAAGGTTCAGAGCAGTCGTCTTCACATGAAAGCACTTGTAAAGCTGGCTTGGTAAAATGATGGAAATAGGAGTAGCTTCAGGCACACTTTAGTGTTGCTGGTGGTTTGGAGGTGACTGGGCTTCCCTGGCAAAGGGAGGTTGAACGGTCACAGCCTTTGCAGAATAGGGCATATATATCTGGATAGCTAGGGAAGTCTTGTCTATGCAGGAAGTCTGAGCAGGGATAATGGGTAGCACTCTAGTAGCAAAAACAGTAGTAAGAAAGCAGCCAGACCAGGGAGGCATTCTTTGTGCAGAGAAATGGGTAATCTGGGGAAGATCAGTATTTCCCAAGGTTTGCCTAAGAAAGTGTGAGAGCCTGGTACGTACTTCCAGTCAAGCAGAGACCTGGCTTTGTAAGCCCCCACAGAACATCACACAATGCAACTTCTGTCCAGAGACTGGAAGCTGTCCACGTTCGTTGGACCTGAGCTAATGAGCCCTAGCTTGCACAAAACTAGATCAAGTACTTCTGCTCTACTTAGGCAGCCGTGCCTCCCCTCCCTAGCGATCACTTCTGCCCACTTCTTTAGGTGTCATACATGCCCCTGCCCCCAGTGAGCACCTGCTGGAAAATGAGCAGTGCAACAGATGGTTTCTGATTTTACCAGGACAACTGAGGGTTTTTGGCAGAGAGAGGAAGTAAGCACTGAAAACAGACTGAGAAAGAGATGTCCAGGCATGAACACAGGGAGTAGCAAGGGTCACTGAGCAGGAGGAGCTGGAGTGGTTGCAGGGAGGATAGGCACCACTGTTGCAAAGGGAGCATTTCTGAAGAGTGGGCATGACTGGTTTGTAGGCAACGGGTACAGAGACTGCACAGTGCCACAGGCACTGCAGTCATTTATCTCAGCCTGGCTGGGGCTAGGAGGGGAGGCAGAGAGGGACAGTGGAGAAGGCTGTCTCCTAACATCCTTCATGAGACGATTCTGAGCAGTTGACAGGGACCCCCACCTCTCCCTTCTCCCTCGTGTTTCTTTGCCTGCCAGGAACTTCTAAGGTGTATACTGAAACTGGAAGTGCACTGTGTAACGTTGCAGTCATAAACTCTTCCTCTCCTTTAAAGTCTTGCCAGAGTGACAGCACTGCTTGGATGTCAGTCACTGAGGTATCTGCAAGGAATATGAAGATCCTCAGAGAATAAGAAAACCATTACCATTTCACTGGTATCGCTGATCACCAGGAGATGAGCTCTCTGTGCCTTGCAAGCTTCCTGGCTGGAATGCCAGTCCTTCTTCTCCTTGGAGAAAGAGTAGCAGCTCCCTCTGTAGGCTACCCACTGCTCAGGGCAGTGTGGGTGGGATTCACCTGTAAAGGAAGCAAAATACCAACTTTCCTCTACCATTAACCAACAGAAAGACACTTGTCAGCAAGGGCCTGTTGCTTTTGCAACTCCTCTGGATATAAAAATAGCTGCATGAACACTGAATTTCAGATCCTCTGTGCAATTTCCAAGTACTCGTACAAGAGTTAGTTGCGCTCTCGTGTTGGTGCAACCCCCTCCCCCAGGTTTCCTCTGAACTATTCAGAAACCCAAGAACCAAAATTGGCTATCTGAAAGCAGACAACACTCTGGGTGTGCAAAAAGTAAGGGGAAAAATGACATCATTCTGTGGGTATGGTGTTATCATGTCACACATCAGGTGAACAGATTTTAAGCAGCAAACACATGTGGCAATCCTACATGCTCTAGCACCTTCTGCATGCATGCAAAATTGTTACAGACCTTGCATATTTGTTCTACAGTTTACCACTACAATTACAGCAGACACGTCTACAAAAACCTTTCAATACGTTTCACTGCTTTTAGACATAGGATCTGAAATGGGTTGCCTGGGGTCTGCACAAGGACTATATTCTTCGAAATATTCTGGATAGGCAGTGGGTAATTAAGGCTGGTAGAAACCTAGAACAGCTTCTGGTTTAACCACATATAATGGAGTTCAGGATCTGAGCTCCTGTACGTAGAAGAGTTTCTGGTCCTTTGCTGTTGGATGCTCACCCTTAGCACCCCTTTGTGTACTTACTAATCTTCCAAATCAAAGCAATTGCTAGGATGATGCTCAAAATCCCAAAGCCTATAGCCAGCTCCGGCACAACTGCTGGCCACAGACAGGGAACTGCAAAAGAGAAAACAAACCATAGTGAGCAGGAGCCACATGAAAACAGACGCTGCTTTTAGGCAGTTTGCTTGCATCTTGGGCATTTTCATAAGGAACTGAACTATTTAGAGCATCCCTTTTTGGCCACACTCTGCTCACCACTGACCCTGCTCAGTGTCCCCAGGATCTCTCCACGCCCCTACCCACCAGTCCAGGGCTCCATTTTAGATCAACCCAGAGCCGTCAGTCCTTGCTTGATTTTCCCAGGAGGTGTACCTGCCTCCAGGTCAGCCACAGCTCTGGCTGGTCCAGCCCCTGCAGTGGCTGACCCCTGGAGAGGAAGCACCTGCTCCAAGTCAGCCAGAGCCCCCCAGGCACCATGTGGCACTTTGCGCTGTCAGAAGCCTCCCAGCAAACCTGCTCCTCCTCAGTACTGAAGGTCAGGGTGGAAACACAGAGCTGCACTGCCACAGTCACCCTGTTTCAGCTTAAAAGCAAAAAGAAACCCAAGGCCTTGGGTTTGCTGTGAGACCCAACAGCTCTCTCAGCAACAGCGACGGGTTTAACCTCAGCATCCTGTTCACAAGCTTAGACACATGGTTCCATCTTGCTGGGACACTCTCAGGTCAGGCCTACGCCTTCATCCTCCTCTCCTGCGGTGGGGTGGCAGGATGGCAGGGCCAGCCCTGAAGACCTTGGGATGTTCCTTGACACATCACCACCACCATCCGCTGTTCGCTTGCTGCCAGTGGCAGAAGGTGACTCCTTGGGGCATCCTCCATCATGTCCCAGCACAGCTTCCTTTCAAAGGGTGAGGTGGGACCTTGCTGGTGCCTTCTCCTTTAAGCTAATTTACCACATGCTGCTCTTGTGGGGCTCCAGAGTCTTCTACCCAAATCCAGAGGCAAAGTCCCTGATGGAGCTCATGAAATCTGAGGTCATTCTCTCTTGGTGGCATCACAAGACCCAAAGAGACTTATCTGTACTCCCTAAAAACACTAGGAGGCTAAGAAGTAAGATGGAGGGAGGGGAAGGCTGGCTTTGACCAAAGAAATTGCCACAGCAAGTACATTGAAAACTTGGGAGAAGAAGGGCTGTAATCACAATGACATAGCAATAAGATACAAAATATACAGGGAAGACAGAGGGGGGCTGTTCTCTACTCAAGTAAAATTACAGTCAAATTAAGTTAAATAACTAACTGCATCAGGAAGTTACAGTAACAGCATCCCCACAGACCAAGCAAATACTACTAAATGCATAGGGTTGGAATTATATGCCAGACAAGGATGGTGACAGCACTCATGAACCAGCAAAAAAAAAACCCCACAGCAACTGTGAGGGAAGCAGAGTGGTGACAAGCATCGATTAATCACATTAAATTACTGAAACACCGTGTCAGAGCATGATGCTGAGGCTGAAAGCTCAGGCACCATCAATAGGCAGCTTGTGGAGCAGCAGGCAGGGAAACACAGAGAGCAAAGCAGCTCGTGACTGCTCTGAGCCATGCTCAGGCCACCCGGCTCACCATGGCTCCGTCCAGCAGCTTCTCTGCTGCAGCCAGCACAAATGTACTGAGGTTCAACAAGGCCAAAAAAACAACAACAACAAAAGGCACTGTGGCATAATCATTTCAAAATGGAAAACTACAGGAAAATGTGGAATTTGTCAGAGAAAAATTAAAAGGGGTGGCTAAAATAATACAATATTTGTAAGCAGTAGAGGAGACTTTATAGAGTCTTGGTGGAGACTGAAAGCAAATGAACATCACGTATAGAGAATATTGTGGGAAGGACAAAGAAAGCGCTAAAACAGAAGGGGAAGCAACTTCACTTAATAACAAGGATGCATCCTTTAAGCATTGGAAGCTTTGTCCAAATTCAGAAAGTAGACCAGATCAGTAAATTAATAAAAATTAATTCATTTTGATCTTCAATCAGTTTACAGGCTCACTGGTTTTAACCAGTATCTGGTTTATACCAGTATATTTAGACCTGTGGTTTTGGCTAAAGAAGTTTCTAAGGTAACAAGAGAGAGCATGAGGGAGTTTGGTTGTAAGCATCATTCTTCTGGTAGAAAGATATTTCCTAAGATAAAGGTTTTGTCATGTTTTCTGAAGCTTTGAGAATCTTCTATCTGCCCCTAGTTAAAAAATAGCAACATTTCTTTCTTTTTTTAATCATTAAATAAGAACAAAACCCCATCTCTTTTCAGTTCCGAAATACAGAAAGACTTTTCAGTTGCAACCTACTCCTCAACTCCATGCAAGAGGACAATGGGAGAACGGAAGGACTTCAAATGGGCAGCTCTCCTCTCCCTGTTCCTCTTGTAGGGTCACCTTTGTGTCTTCGGTGATGGAGTTTTGCCATCAAATCTCAAGAGAATGAAGTCAGCCCGAGGTGAAGGGGTAGAGTGAAGCTGCTTCTTTGCAGATTACAACTGAGAACTAAGTAAAAGGGGATGAGCACCTGTTGAAACAGAATTCTTTGTTCTGAGACCACATTTCTGAGGATTTCCACTTCTGTTTCCCTTCCTGTCTTGCCTCTCAGAGAAGCTACCTGCTGCATCCTCCAGATCACTATTTCAAATTTTAGAAAAACTCCTTGCAGGACAAGGTGACTGGGATGACACTCAGTGAAGTGGTTCATCCTTAAATGTCGGCACCAGGCACCGGAACTCGTGCCTCCTGGCAGTGAACAGAGCAGTTCACCCTCTCTTGTTTCACACCAACTGCAGAAAAAAGGAACTGACTTGGCTCAGAGTCAAAACAAAATCCCACTGCACCTCCACAGCCAGAGCAGTGGGAGATGAGACTTCAGTTCTTAAAAATGAAAAAAATTAGATGATTTTGAGAGGAAAACAGAGAGCGAAGGGGACAAGTCATATTGAAAAGTTCAAGGTGAATTTGAGCCTCACTTGAACTGCAGGGATCAACTCAAGGAAGTGGAATAAAAATGTTCATACATCAGGAATTTTCCCCTTGCAAAAGGGAGTCCCTGCAGTTCCCCCTTTTTAAAACAGGTTCATGGGTTTGTGCTTGATCCTCAAGCCCTGGAGAACATGTGAAGCTCTTGTAGGAGTGAAAAGGAGATGTACCTGTTGAAACAGAGGAGGGAAATTTGAATGGAACATCCAAAATTACTCCCAGGTAGCTGTCTGAGCAACTGTGGAAGAGTCTCCTCAAGGGAAAGGAGAAGTGGACTGGTGGACATTTAATGCAAATATACAGTGTTATAACTTTCTAGTATTAAAACCAGACAGTTAGGTCTCTCAGTGTTCTGGAGAAATGACTGATCTACTGCATTCATCTGCAAGCAACGCGACCCAGTATTTTTAGGTTTGGGAGTCCAGGTACAGTTCAAAAAATGAAAGCTGTTAGTGTTTTATAATTCAAGACTTCTGGGACAAACTGGAAGATGTCATTGCGCTGTCCCACATAGCTCCCCTCAGGTCCTGCCTATGTCGGTATTGGAGCAGCCTGACTACTTGGGGAGGAGGATTTGAGAAAGGAGGATCCTGTCCTTGGCTATCGCACAGGCCTGGTTATCACTGTCACTACAAGCTGCCACACAGCCTAACACTGCCTTAAGTGACAGGTGGACTGACATTTTGGTAGTGTGGCACATCTAAAGCTCTGTGGAAGCCAGGCAGAAGACAGCCAGGGCAACTCTTCATTTTTGAAGAGTCCATGAGAGCCAAACACAGTTGATTTGACCAGATCAAATCAATTTGATCTATACACCTGTGATATACCTGTGATACTGCAGGGGTGACTTGGTAGCAAGGGTGCGCGTTTGAAAACAGAGATGAAATACCCATGAACACATCTCTCAAAAGTGATGGAGGGAGGGGCAAGTGTTGAAACTAAAGACCTTCTAAAGAAAGTTACTTGAACTTGCACGCGGAAGAGACCTGGAAAAAATGGAATAATACGCACAGAAAGTGTGTCCAAAGATGCGCTTCCTTAATTGAGGCCCTCTGACTTTAGCTCAAAAAGATGAGGGAACATAAAGGAATTTGGAGAGGAGGAATATTAAAAAGAAAACTGTCAACATCTCAAGAGTGCATCGGGTAATCCTCATCTCTATCAGGGTACAAGTGAACAGAAATGGAGGGGAATGAAGGGATGTCCTTGTGTTTCCTGATGCAACAAAAAAACACCATTTCTGGTGAAAACACACACAAAAGCAAGACTGCCTTCCAAGCAGACAGAGTGTGATTACCAGATAGGAACCTGGGGGTGTCTGCACTGGCTTCTTTTTCCATAGCACAGCAGGTGACCAGGCAGCAGTACCAGCCACAGATACATGCAGTTACTATGATCAGGGCACTGAAATCTCGTGTGCCAGAACTAGAGTTTCCTTTGCTGTAAGAGCTCTGAAAAAAGCTAGGAACAACCACTCATGTTGCAGCAAATACAACACAACTCCTCTGAAGCCCATGGGCATTTAGTGGAAAAGCAATCGGCTCATGGGAAGGAGGTACTTACAAAGAACGACCACCTATGCAAAATCACTCCTCTAAGGTGGTATTTTGCAGATAAGCAGACAGAGAAATTGCTCATGTGACATTTGCAAGGCCTGAACTGGGGGAATGGAGCAGAAATAAGGAAAGAGAAAATTTAAGGAAGGAACTAAGAAAATCTTGCTGATAGTAAAATGCCCTGCAGAACTGTCTCAAGGCAAAAGCTGAAAATTCGCTCACTGGGAGGTATGTAAAACCAAAACGGAGAAAACACAGGAAAAAATGTATCGTAAAAGAATCCTGCAGAGCCCCAGGGAGACTGACGGGATGATCTCATGTGCCTCCTCTCTCTGATCTCTGATTAGCATACGCCTGTAATTTATCTGTACTCGCATCTCGTCTGCCCTTCAAAGAACTGCTGCTGACAATCTCTTATTGCTGACAAGCAGACAATTTTAAACTGCAAAACACTTTTGGAGAAAGGATGGCTGGGTTGCATGTCCAAGAGTACACACCAAAAGTGATCTGACAGAGAGAGGGAGGGGAACAACGCTGGGTCTCTGACCCATCGGCTTTTATCACAGTAAAATATTCACAGCAATTTTAGAATCAAGGCAACAGCACCGTGAGCTGGTACTCAAAGTCAGTGGCCAGCTCAGAGCGCTTTTGTTAGATCTTGCTTTTTCTCAAAATAAAATCTATCATTCAGCGTCCTCACCCAGAGTCCTTACCTTTCCTCTCCTGTCCAGTTTTGGACCTCGGCGGCAGAGTCTGAGAGAATCTGACAGAAGTATAAATTATTTCCTCACTTGCTTCGGCTGCACAAGTTTCTGATCTGCTCCCCTCCATGCCAAAGCGAAGAGTGCGTATGACAAGATGTTTCGATCAGGCTGTTGAGCAACAGGGCTCCACGCCTGTGAAACAGGAAACCTGAGGCTACATTCAGAAGACAAGAAACATGAAGTTGCAACCTCTGTCTCCAGCAGATCAAAATTAACTAAATTTACAACAGAACAGAGAGCGCTGGAAGTGCCACAACTTCCATTTCCTAACCTGATGAGCGATGTCTGCAGAGCAGCTGTTTGTGGAAGAAATGATTAATCACAAAGTGCAGGGCAATCGTTGCCAGTGCAAGAGGCTGTGATTACTCTGATGTAGTAACTGTGAAGATGTGTGTGGATCTCAGGACAGAAGCAGGTGGACAGTGAGAGAGCACAAGGTGAAAAGTGGGATAAACAGGGGCTACGGCAAACCGGCAGCCCAGGGAAGGAGAGGTGGACAGCATGGGTCTGAGAAGAAAGCCTTGAACAAAAAGAAAGCTTTGAACAAATCTACTGGGAACTCTGTCTGCACCCAACGCCCAGTGTGAATGTGCCTGAGACACAGGCAGCCACTGAGAGCCAGCATCCCTCAAGACCCTCTGAGTCAACATCTCATCAGCATCAGCACCAGCACCAGAGAGACATGGAGCATCTGTCCTGTGAGGAAAGGCTGAGAGAGCTGGGGGCTGTTTAGCCTGGAAAAGAGATGTCTTGGAGAGGACCTTATTAATGTATATGATTACCTGAAGGGAGGATACAAAAAGAATCAGGCTCTTTACAGTGGTGCCCAGTGACAGGACAAGAGGCAACGGACACAAACTGAAACACAGGAGGTTGCCTCTGAACATCAGGAAACACCTTTCTACTGTGAGGGTGACTGAATACCAGCATAGGTTGGTCAGAGAGGTTCTGGGGGTCTTCATCCTTGGAGAGTCGTCTTGACAATGGTCCTGGGCAACTGGCTGTAGGTGGTCCTGCTTGAGGTGGGGGTTGGACCAGATGACCCTGAGAAGCCACTTCCAACCTCAACCATTCTGTGACTCTGTGGTCAGCAGTAACAGGAAAGGATAGTTTTCTTCTGAAGTAGTGAAGATTGACCCCTGATGAGAATGGTGTGGAGTACTGATGCTTCTACCATCCTCAGAAACCTCTTGGCCGTACTTGAGAGGAAGGGGGAGGCAGAAGACAGCAGAGCTACTCAAGAGGAGGAAAGTCTCTCCTGAATGCTTTGAACGGACATTAGATAAGTCTAAGCAGAACTGTCAAGCCCATGGAGGGAGAATTTGCTATAGCCATGATGAGAGCTTAGATGGGAATGTTATCGACGTGGCTGGAAAGAAACCAAGAAGACTCTGACACTGCTTCAGTGCCCAGACCAAGGGGAAAAGTCTGTGTGGTCCAAGGCACTGCAGGCTGGCTGCGGGGCCAGCGTGATCATAAAGACGACGTTATTTGTGAACAAGTGGAGAAGCAAAGGCTGGCGGGGAAGAATGAAGAGTTCTGTTTTGATGTGTTTCACCATTTTCTCTGAAATACCAGCAGTAAGCTGAGTTCTTCGTCTGGACAGGAAATGGAGAGGAAGTGATGGCACCATAGAAGGGTATGCAGGTACTGTTAATATAAACAAATCTGACCTCAGCAGTGAGATGTCTTGTGCGACACTCCCAGTGGAATCGGCAATAGGACACAAATCATAGCAGGACTAAATCAATCAGTTTTCCAGGAGCCAACAATGCTCCTTCCCAGTTCATCACTACTGAAGCAGCATACTGTAGGGACGCCCCCCAAACTCCTCTTAAACAAGTGGCTTCTTTAGCAGGTTGACAAGTTCACTAAATCCAGCATTTCTTTCTTAAATAAAAGCTGTAAAAGCCTCAGAGCTCTGTCAAAGAACATCCGTCCCTTCCAATAACAGAGCCCAGAAAAGTGGACTCTCGGACCATCACAGTGAGGCATGACTTAAGAAGTGAAATGTCCTTTAAATATGCCAGTATCACATAATTTGTAACTTTATTAATCCTACTCAAGATGCTGAGGTCCAACAACTTTGTTCATGATCAGCTGGACCTGGAATTCTTCTGCAGTGGCAAAACGTGCAGGAGCCAGATGAGACAGCTATATTCCGAAGTATAACAAAACTGCGTGTCAGGCAGGGGTGAAATCTGAAGGATCAAGGCCACAAAGTAGGTTTATGAGGTTAATAATGGTCTTCCTTGCTTTTTTCACAAGCAGTCACTCTGGAGGCACATGGGAGGATGGCAAGGTCCAAGAACTGTGACAGCCGACTGCCTTTGATGGAGGCTGCCATGATTTAACCCAGCAGGCAGCCCAACACCACCAGGTGCTCACTCACGTCACCCCCCCAGTGAGGTGGGAGAGAGAATCAGAGCAGAAAGGTCGGAGCACTTGTGGGTTGAGATAAAAACAGTTTAATAATTGAAATAAACTAAAATAACTATAATTATTCTATTATTAAATAATACTAACAACAACAATAATAGAACACACAACGTTATACCCAGCTCCCACAGTAGCCACTGGCTGTACACTCCCAGCAGTG